GAGCGAGCTTTCATATGCCATACGAAATATATTTGATTGGATTCCCACTTTCGTTGTTTTAGACTATATGTACATTTCCACGGTGTTTTCCAACATGCGAGTGTACTCGATGTTGTGGTGTTGTTGATTTTGGGATAAAGAATTAATTTATTTTCTTCGTTTCAAAGCCCCAAAAGCGTTTTCGTGTGGTTTTCTCCTTTTGCGTGTGGAAAAGCGGATGTGGAAAAGGCGGGGCGGGGGGCTTGGGGGGGCGTTCAACCCGAACTCGAACCTTAGCCTGAATGGTTTGGGTTTGGGTTCAACCCGAACCCCAACAACCCGACCTCGAACCCTAGCCTTAGGGTTTGGGTTTAGGTTCAAACCCCAACCCCCCCTCCCTCCGGTGAGGGTTTTGGGGTTGGGGTTTCAACCCAACCCTGGAACCCAGGTTCGAACCCGAGTTGAACCCAGCGTTCAGGCAAGTGAAAAGGACCGTTGAAGAACTCTGCCAGGAACAAGAAGCACCGAGCACCACGAGAAAGTCAGGAGCGTAAGCGAACTTTCGGCAAGGATCGGAACACTGGAGGAAAGATGGGAGACGCTTCAGCAGGAAGAAGAAGTTGCAAGAGAAAAGTACGGACAGTACTTTGAAGACCAGGAGGAGTTGAAAGAACCGAAAAGGAGAAGAGACAGAAGAGAGAGCAGGACAACATGATGAGGGAAGAAAAGGAAAGGCAAAAGAAGCTTGCGAGAGCAGCATACCAACAAGGCCGCCTATGCACAGCTGCGACGACAAACCCAACGATCTCATGATGTTCCACCAGCCTAGGTTCGCGCCCAGGGTCCAGGCACCTACTTCGAGGGGTTGCATTGTGCTCCCCAGCCTCATCCTGCCGGAGACCTTTCGCTTACATCCTGAGTACAGCCGAGCCTACATGGACCAGAACGGGATCCTCCGTTGCCTACTACCGTGTTCTTCTCAGCCTTTCCGCCCATTCCACTCAGCCTGCGGCTCCCGTCCGGATCAGGACCAGCACTCTGGTCATCAGTGTTGCCCATGCAAGGAGTTCACAGATGCCGGCCGATGCCCGGGTGAGTGGTTCGACTACATGCCTATGAAAAGGGTCTCAGACTCCCAGCTTAGCGCCTGCCCGGCCTAACACCATCTAATCTAATCAGCTTGTTAGCTTACCCAAGCCAGATACCCTACTCGGGAGACCGGGCGGGTCGCGCTGACAGATGTAGCTTGCTTTGCCTTTTCTCTGCATGGGTCGCTCACACTCATTTCTGTGCCGGCAGGACCCGATGGCTCACCCGGACGGTCTCTGCCTCGTATGGTCGTAGCCTCCGCGTCTCTGCTTTACCCCGGAGACTCAGGTCACGCCGATCTTGGCGTCCCACAAAAGCCGCGCACCTGGTCTTTTTTGCCTCCGGCGTCATCCTGACAGCCTGCAGAAATGGATCAAGACAGCTCTCCCGACATTCCCCATATGGAGCGAGATACCTACCGGGAATCAGTTTCGGGAGTGACCTCGAACCTGCCCACACCGCTTTGCAAGTGGGCGGGACTTCGGCCTCCAGAGGACCAGGAAGCACAAGCGGATCCTACAGATCACGAGCCGCTCGACACGCGGAGGGCTTGCATCGCCAAGAGATTCAGAGCCCGAAGCCGAAGCGCACACATCCATTTGCCCGTGTATCAGGAGCCACTCGACCTGCCGAGGGGTTGCATCGCCAGGAGATTCAAAGCCCGAAGCCGAAGTGCACACATTCATTTGCCCGTGGAGCATGCATCAGATTCAATGCCAATCAGGACTGCTCCGGAACTCACAGGCATTCCTGCTCTCATGCCCTTGCTCCGTGTGCCGGAGCCCAACGTCCGAAGCCACTCAGACTGTCGCCGCCTTGGTCAGTGGCCTCCCCAGAAAACCCAGAGATGCCGTGGGAGAGCAGGGACAAGCCGCCACAGACAGACGGCCCATCGGGCCAAGCTGCCACAACTTCCCCCCAAAGGGGGGCCTCGCACAGCAATTCGACAACCCCCCGCCGCGTTGGTCTGCCTTCGTCCCTCATGTTCGAAGCCTTTAGGAAGGCTGTAGTTGCAGTAAAGTAGTAAATCTTAAGCTTCCAGGAAGCCTGTATTTCAGTAAAGTCGTAAGTTCTAAGCTTTTACTAAGCTTGTGATTGCAATTAGGTAGTACCAGGCCTGTAATTGCAGTAAACTAGTAAGTTTCAAGCTTCTGTTAAGCTTCAGATTGCAGTACAGTAGTAAATTCGAAGCCTCTACTAAATTTCTAGCTGCAATAAATTAGTACGTTGAAAGTTTCGCAAAAAAGTGTAAATTGAAGGCCTTTACGAAGCTTTAATTGCAGTAAAGTAGTACGTTCTAAGCCTGTACTACGCTTCTAATTGAAATAATGTGGTAAGTTCTACGCTCTGCAAAGCTTCTAATTGCGATAAGAATAGTAAGTTGAAAGTCTCTACTAGGCTTCTCATTGAAGTGGTAAGTTCTAAGTCTCTACCTAACTTCTAAGCCTCTACAGAGCGTCTAATTGCAGTAAACTGGTGGGTTGTAAGCATGTACTAAACTTCTAATTGAAATACAGTAGTAAATTCTAAGCCTAAGCTTCTAGTTGAAGGAAAGTAGTAAGTTTTGGGTTTTTGACTTTTGTCACGGAGTCCAAAAATAGTTTGAAAAAATAAGCGATGAATTTTTCCTTTAAAAGTAGCTGGTTTTCTCGAGCGAATCATGTAAATATAGGGGTATTCTTCTGATCAAGAGCACGGAATATTCAAGCATGTCGCTCTCCTATCTTTACGTCCATACTGTTTGGGGTCTTGACCGGCATTGAACAATAAGGGTGATTTCGAACTATGCGTCGCTCAAGCTTCATGGCTCCCTGGCTAGTAGGTCTGTTGGATTTGCTGGTCTCGGGTTCAGGGTCTGGTTGGTGGGGATTGGCTTGCCCGGCGCATTGCAGCAGCAGCTTCCTCCTTTCTGCCTGCCTCTTTGTTGCGGGCGCCTCTTGTGGGGCCCTGACTACCCTCTACTTCCTGCGACACCTTCTGCTCAGGGAGGACTTGCTTTGGAGTGGCCCTCGACCTCGTGAGGCTAGGCGCTCCGCTGGCCCTTCCTCTCGGCTTTCGGGGTATTTGGATGAGTGAGGAACCCTCCTCTACTTCTCTGGACATCGAGGGCCTTACTCAGGCCGTTGCTCAGCTGCACCTTGCCACCGGCTCCCTTGCAAGGGTCCTTGAGAGACCCAGTAGATCCGACGACTGGGTTGTCGTTGAGCCGCCTTCGGACCCCTGCCCCCCTAAGGGTTCTAGTGTCCCTAATCCTGCTTCCCTTTCGGGTGCTAGCGCCTCGCCCGCCCCTAAGTTTCGGTTTAGGCCCCCGCCTGCCTCGGCCAGCCGGCCTCTGTCCTTCGAGGATTGTGTGCATTTGTGCTCTTCTTTGGGCACTTCTGTGCGCGAGGCCCGTGCTTCGCGAGCTTGGGCCGCCGGCCGCTCTGCCGCGTTGGTGCTCTCAGGGCAGTGTGATTTCGGGGACGCCTCTCCAAAGATCGAGGTCAGGTCAAGGTTGTACGTGGTCCTTCGGCACTCTTCGGGAAAAGCCCCGGCTACTTACCGCAGCTTCGCGTCTTTCAAGCGAGCAGTCGGCCACCTGCCGGGCTCGACCACTGTGTGCCACGGTTTCCCTACTGAGGGGGAGGCCCGCGTGTTTTGTGCAGCAGCCGGCTGCCCCTACCCGCCAGAGGAGCAATGAGTGCTGCCGAGCACCTCACATATGCCTCAGATGGGGTTGTGCTGCCCTTCCTCGCCAGGCCGCCTGTGGGAGGGGCCCAGGGCGACCCAGAGCGCCAGGTTCTTTGTGTTCCCGTCATGCCCCGCCCAGAAGAATTCCGCTGGCACTTCCTGTTGGAGTCGTGCCGCCCAGCCTCCTGGAGCAAGGAAACGAGGCGGTCCAAGGTGTTATGTTCGGCCCCTCTACCACTCTGTCGGTGCCGGCTTTGGTGGAGGAGGAAGACGGGGGGGAGACCCCGGCCGCTTCTCCGTTGGACGTGCTTGTGGTGGACTTCGAGGAGAGTGCGGGTCAATACCTGGAGCCCTACGATCCTTTGGTGCTGCCCGACCCAGTGCCCTTCTCTGCCGAGGCCCCGAGCGCCTTTCCGGATGGAGCCAGGCTCGTAGCACTTTGCCGCGCCTGGGTGCGCACCGTGGAGGCCGAACGAACGGCCTTCTACTCTGCGTTCGAGGCGGAGCAGGGGGAAGGCTGCCCAGACCCGGCCCAAGCCGAAGCGAGTCACCACGCACCAGCTCGCCGAGCAGTTGGGCAGCATCTCTCAGATGCTCCCGGCCTTGAGCAGCCAGCTGCAGGCGCTTTCGGAGAAACAGGAGGCCCTGGAGCAAAAGGTGTCCCAGGGTGCGGCCGCCCCGGCTCTGCTGCCTGCACACCGCCAGCCTTTCCCCTTTGCCGACAGGGGCAGGCGCTACAAGCAAGGCCGGGCCCGTGTCACAGCTTGCTGTTGCCCTGAACCGCCCCCGCGTACGAGACCGGAACCCGCCATGGCGCCCCAGGCCCCGACAGACATCGCGACCGGAGGGGGGCTCTCTTCCCGGGCAAGCGCAAAGAGAGAGAAGCTGCAGGCCGAGCTGGCGATGCAAGCGGGCAACTTTATGCTGGCCGTGGCTCAGAGCGGGCACCGCCGCATGTATCCTACGGAGGCTGTTCCCCGAAACCTCGAGGAACTCAGGAGAGAACCGAGGAGGTTTACCTTCTCCCAGTACCTGGAGAGGCACGGGGGATACCAACACCAGAAGGACCTCGGCCTCATCATGTACATGGTGTGCCAGGTCTCCGACATGCTTTTGGCGGGCTCGGAGGAAGGGGCCCTGGATCTCCTTTCACTACTTATGGTGTGCCTGGAACAGGCCTCGTTGGACCACGGGCGGTTCGAGGTGGCCTACACTCTGAGTCTTTTCGCCGAGCCCCCGAGCCAGGTGTTTTCAAACAGGGGAGCTCCCCAGAACCCCCGGCTTCGAGCTTTTGCCCCGCTGTGCCCGCCAACGTGGGCGACCACCGCCTTTGCGTTCCTGAAGGAGACCGACTCCATTTTGGCCAGGAGGACCGAGGCCTCCGGTGGGGCCACCAGCTCAGGTCAGACAGCCCAGGACGAGCAAACCGCTGCTGCGAAGAAGGCCCCGAGGCGGCCCCGTTTCCCGAGGCCTCCAAAGGACAAGCCCCAAGGCTCCTGAGGTGCCAGGCTGGATTCGCCTGTGCCCTCCTCGCCTCTGGTCTTTCTTCCCTGCCTGTGTGCCCCCTTCCCGTGTGCAGACCCCCTCCCGGCTTGGAGGGTGAGGTCCCCCGGCCCCTTCTTTCTGCACAAGGCCACGACTATGAACCCAAACCTGTTCCAGCTAAGGTTGTTTTATCAAGCGGCCCGCCTGTTGTCCTTCGGCTAAGTGACTGCCTGGCGCCATTTAATTCCGTGCAAGCGGCCCCTAAGCCTAGGGCGCCCCAGTGCTCTGGACCTCCTCGCGGGGCTCGTCAGAGGAAGCCGGCCGAAGAGCCTGACTCCCGACGCGCACAGCCGCCCCGCCTCTCATTCCGGAGGTGGTCCCTCAGCCTCTTTTACAGGATCGTTCGGACCAAGACGCCCTTCGGGGTCTTCCTTGGCTCCCTTTTGCACCTTTCTCCGGCTCCCTTTGAGGCGCCTTCCAAGTCCTTGTTCCCGTTGCCCCTGCCTTTCTTTGGCATCTTCCGGGCGCTCCCCCCGCACATGGGCTCAGCCGCTCGCTCTCGCATTGGTGTCCGGAGAGCTGTCTTTGTGACCGTTGCGGCCCTCAACTACCTGAACAATGGGCTTCGGCCTGTTGCCCACGGCCCCCTGCGGAGGCCTCCCAGTGAACTTCAAGCAAAGGCCTTGGGTTACATTGAGAGGCTTGTCAAGGCTTGCGGTGCGGTTGAGGCAGTGGATCTTGTCTCGGCCTCGCGCCGTTCCTCTAAATTAGCTGCATGCCTGGAGCAGGTGTGCGAGGGGCTTACTTCCTTAGGGGTTTCCTTTGACCGCTACGGGACCTCGTTCCCAGGGCCTCCTTTTGGACCAGCAGGTTGCTTTTGACGCCCTTCACCCCTACCGGAGCCTCGACCCCTCCCGCCTGAAACTCGCCGGAAGGGCAAACTGGGACCCCTCGGATTTCCTCGATGATCTCTTCTTCCTGCCATATCGGGAGCCCCAGGCCCTTCATTTGCACTCGGTTGGGCCTCCAGCCGCCTTCGAGGTCCCTGACCTCTCCCGCGAGGTCCCCTCCCGTGTGCTAGCCTTGGCAAAGCTCTGGGACAGCCAAGGGCTTCTTCGGTTGAGTGCGAGTGGGCCCGAGTCCCCTGACCAGGCCGTTCGTGTCTTCAACGCTGTCAAAAACCTCACCACAGACCGACAAATAGGGGACAGGAGAGGGAGGAACAGGTATGAGGGAGTCTTGCGTGGAGGCTCGTCCCAGCTCCCCTGCGGCCCTGCTCTCTGCGACCTCCTCCTGAATCCCAGAACCCACTCCTTCAGGATATCGGTCTGTGACAGAAAAGATTTCTACCACCAGTTGTTGGTGCCACCGCGCCGGTGTCTTCGGAACTTGTTGTGCCCTGCGTTGAGGCTGGAGGACCTCACTAAGCTCGACGCCTTTCGTTTGCACCCCTGCCTCGCCGACACGCCCGATGCTCTCGCTCCTGGGGGGGCTTGGCCTGAGAAGGTGTACCCGTGTTTCAGTGCCATCCTCCAGGGGGATGCCCTGGGAGTGGAATTTGCTTGCTCTTGCCACTCAAACCTGTTGTCGTCCTTTGGGCTTTTGGGCGGGTCCTCCAGGCTGCTCGGAGGCAGGCCTTTTCCGAGCGGCGCCGAGCAGGACCTCATCGAAGGATTGGTGATCGATGATTGGTTTTCGGTTGCTTGCCAGCCTCTTGGCGAGGTCGGCCCGTCCTCTTCTGGCATTGCTTTTGCCCGGGCTCAATATGCCTACATTTTTGGGTCGTCTGATAAAGACGTTTATGAGCCCCCCTCCGCTAGCATAGCAGGTGCTGAAGTCGATTCGTCCCAGGCCACTCGTGAGCTTGGTTTGGCTCTTGTTGGCCCGGCGAAGGAAAAGCGCATTGCGTTGGCCGCTCTGACGCTTGAGGCGGCCCGGCTGCCGCGCACCTCTGACAGCCTGCACCTTTCCCTTACAGGGGCCTGGGTCTCGGCGTGCCTCTTCCGCCGGCCCTTCATGAGTGTGCTCGACCGGGTTTTCCGGCTGGTCCCCGTTGACAACGTCAGACCCGATAGGCCGAAAGCCTTCGACCTCCCGAGGCGCACCGCCAACGAGCTCGTCGTCCTCTCGGCTCTCTCCTTCCTGCTCACTTGCGACGTGTCGGCCCCCTGGTCCCACACAGTGTTTGCGACCGACTCCTCCACCACCAAGGGGGCTATTGTTGAGGCTGAGGTGGGCCCCGAGGTCACTTCGCTCCTTTGGCGTTCGGACCCTCGTGCTGCCTCGTCGGGCCGTCTTCTTTCCAAGGACGAGGCCGTTTTGCACCAGATCGACCTCGACCGAGAGCCTGCCGCTGACTGCCTCGAGCCTGGCCCGCGTCGCCCGCCCGCTTGCCGCTTTCACTTTCTTGAGGTTTGGGGCTCTGCGGGCGCGTTGTCCGAGCCTCTTGTCGCCTTGGGATGGACTGCTGGGCCTCGCCTTGACCCGAGCATTTCTTGCGAGTACGACCCCTCGTCTTCCAGGGTCTTCGAGTGGATTTGCTTCCTCGTTGAGAAGGGCCGCGTCGATGCCATTGGCATCTCGCTGCCGCTTGCCACCTTCTCTTGGGCCGTGCGCCCTCCAGTGCGGTCGGTCGCTCGCCCTTTCGGCTGGGCCCCCTTGGATGAGAAAGTAAGGCGTGCGAACCGTTGCGCGCACCTCGCCCTTGCTGTGCTGCGCGTGTGTCGGCTTCACGGCCTCCCTGCCGTTTTGTTGCACCCTGTGGCGTCCTTCGCCACCTCGCTGCCTGCTTGGGTTGCGTGCGCAAAGGCTTCTGGTGTTGAGCGGCTTCCGTTCGGCTGGAAGGCGCCCCCGCTTCATCTCTTGACTGTCGGGCTTCCCGCCATCTCTGAGGTGCTGCTTTCCTGGCGGTTTGACTCGCTGCGTCCGGCCGGCTCCGCCGATGCTCGTGGCACCGCTGTCCTCCAGGCCGCTGCTCTGCTTGACTTGGGGCTCGCGAGGCGCTCGGCTTCCCTCGCTGCCTGTGCACTTGATGCAGCAGGCCTCGAAAGTGTGCTTGTCAACGACCTCGCTCTTTCCGCGCCCTGGTCCGTTACTAAGGTCTGGTCTTGGCCGTGCCCCGTTCACATAAACATCCTTGAGTCTTCCTGCGTGTGCCGACTCCTTGGGATTGTGGCAAAGAGGGGCTTCCCGGTTCGGTTTGCCTCCCTCTGCGACTCTAATGTCTCCCGGTGTGCCATCACTCGGGGCCGCAGCCCCTCCCGGGGCCTTTCTAAGGTCATGCGCAGGATCGCCGCCGCCTGCCTCGCCTACGGGCTCTACCCTGTTGTCCCCTTCTGCCCGACTCGCCTCATGCCGGCGGATGCTCCTTCCAGGAATGCGCCCCTCGAGCCTCCCGTTGCCAGTGTCCTGTCCCACATTTGCGATGTGCGTGAGCGCACCTGCCTTTCTGGACTACCCACGGTGCGCAGGTGGGCTGCCAACTGGTTGCGCCTGTTCTTTGGACTCTGCCGCTTCCACCTCCCTGCGGGCGAGCTCTACCGAGGCCGTGGCAGTGCCTTCCGGACCTTTGTCCCTTCGCCCCTGCGTTTCGACAGCACCCTTGGCTTCCCAGGTGAGGGCCCTCTCCAGGCTTTCCTCTGGCCCTTGCTCGCTGCCCTTGCCTCGCCTTCCTGGTGCCTTCCGGTGTGTGCTGCCTGGGCAAGCCTCTTAGTCTTCAGGGTTGGTGCCGTAGGTCCGGTAGCTTCGAGCCATGGCCTGCTTTGTCCGAGGAACCCAGGTGACCTTTTGAGGAAGAACCGTCGCGACCCCGGGGGTCTCCCTGAAGGCCGCGTCGTTGAAGCTACCACTCAGCGCAATAGGGATGCTCTTTGGGGAGCTTTCCTCCTGTGGCTCGACAAGGCAGGGATCGACAGGGCCCTCTTCACTTCTGTTGAGGGCATCGCCGACATCGACTCGATCAACTGCGTTTTTGGGCGCTACGGCAGGGACTTGTACGCAGCAGGCCGCCCCTTTGCCCACTACAGTGAGACCCTGAACGCTTTTTCTGCGAAGGTGCCAAAATACAGGCGCCTTCTGCAGCCAGCCTGGGATATTGCCTTCTCTTGGAAACGTGAGGAGCCGGGGAGGCATCACACTGCCCTCCCCTGGCAGGTGCTCCTCTCCCTTGTGAGTGCAGCTTTTACCTGGGGGTGGCCGCGAGTCGCAGGGGCCCTCGCTCTCGCATGGGGCGGGCTTCTTCGGATTGGTGAGGTCCTGCAGGCCTGCCGGCAGGATCTCACCCTTCCTTCGGACGTCAGGCATACAGTCGACTATGCCTACCTCACTATACGTGACCCGAAGACCAGATACCACGCAGCCCGCCATCAGGCGGTGCGGGTCGACCAGCCCGACATCCTTGAGATAATCTCTGTTGCCTATGGCAAGCTAGGCAGGAAAGAAAAACTCTGGGTACTGTCCGGCCAGACTCTGAGAGTTCGTTTTAAACAGCTGTGCCAGGCACTTCTTCTGCCCTGCGAGCCAGGAGGTAAGCTCCCGGCTCTCGAGCTTTCTTCCTTGCGCGCAGGAGGCGCAACTTGGTTGATGATGCAAGGCGAAGACAGCGAGCTCGTACGACGACGTGGACGATGGCTATCGCACCGGATCATGGAGATCTACGTCCAAGAAGTATCATCGATACAGCTCTTTAACTGTCTCCCCGAAGCTTCGAAGGACCGAGTTTTTGCTGCCCTGGCGGTCTTCCGCGACGTTCTCTCAAAGGTCAATTTCTTTGGTACCGTTGGCATTTTGCCAACCATGTGGTACCGTCTTCTTGCAGCTGGGTCGATCGCTGACGCATAAGCGGGGGTTGTTTGGGTGGTGCTGCGAAGCAGAACTTTTCAGCCTAAGATGGGCTGCTTGTGACTCCGCCCTTCAGGTGCAAAACAGCAGCCGTGAGATTGAACCCTTGAACAATAAGGGTGATTTCGAACTATGCGTCGCTCAAGCTTCCCTCCGCTCCCGGCCCACGCCCAGCTGCGAAGCAGAACTTTTCAGCCTAAGATGGGCTGCTTGTGACTCCGCCCTTCAGGTGCAAAACAGCAGCCGTGAGATTGAACCCTTAATTATTAAGCAACGTAGACTTTCGCCAATAGAGAATGATCAAAGCTGCTCAGGGTTTTCGAGTTTCTCAGGTTTTTGCAGCTCGTGGCTCTTGACCGATGAATTAGGATTCCTCAATATTTTTTTCTCGCAATTTTCGTAGGTAATTTTTGCGAATTTTACGGGAACTGAAGGGCTCTTACATGTTCTAAAGATGTTTGAAGTGAAGACTTCTTCAGAATTCTTGCGCATGCTTTTTAGGCATGTTGTTTAGGCATTCAACATCTGCAGGTGGTTGAGACGTCGCACAGTTACACAAAGCAAATTCTGTCAGTTGCACTTTGCGAGATCTACAGGCTGCGTGGTGCCAAGACAAACAACGTTCTTGCATTTCAATATGCATTTTTGTTTACGGAATATCGCCCAAGCAAGACAACCATTCCCTTTGCACGCATCTCAGATCATGGGATCTGCTATTAGGACAAGGAGCTGTATTGTTGAGATAGTTGCACAGAGTTCTTCTTCGAAGATGATCATGCTGGATCTGCCCTCTCCCAGCTTCGTCCTTTGTCCTTTGGCTCTTGTTCAGCTCAACCGAGAAGAAGTTGCAAGTGACGCCGTCGAAGAGCGTTGCGTTTCTGTTATGCCCTTGTAGGCCCGGTTCGCGTCGTAGGCAGGGTATTGTCGGAGTGGTGGTAGAGGTGGTAGAAGTATTTACGCAAATTGCTATGCATGCAAAATGCTAGCTGTCAAAGTGTTATGCTGTGCAAATGCTCTGTTTTGAAGCTGCTGTTGCAAGGCTGTCGATTGCGATGCGATGCAATGCGTGGCCAGATCGATCACAAGGTTCTTTACAGAAAACACTGTCGACACCAAAACAAAAACTCGCGACTTGCCAGCTTCCAGGAGCACGATCAGGTCTCATCAAGCTCCCACGCGCCACCTGATCTGGCGCCATGCTACCGGGACCTGGATCAGGAGGCTGCCGGGGCCTTGCAAAGCAGTTCAGGCAGGTTCTTCTCCAACTCCTCCCGCACCTTTCTTTTCTTTTTGCTGTTGTTCTCGGGCCGGAGCTTGGTACAAGCAATCTCGTCATCTGCCTTGGGAGCTGCCGGGAGGCACTTTTCATCAAGGCCTCGGTGCGTATGCTCACCCACTCACGATGGGACATAAGTCGCTCTAGTTTGGCAAGTTTTGGATCAACAAACTTGTTTTTTGCTTTGGACCAGGTTGACCGGCCGCGAGCCGTTGTCTAGCATGGCCGACTGGTTGATGTCAGCGGCAGCGACGGAAACATACTGTCGAGAGCTGAGTAGCCATTAGTTGCACTGACCATGTTGGTAGCAACTTTTTGTTTACCGAATTCATGTCATGCGAGGGGCAAACCATTTACGATCAAGAATGTATGGGCACACCAAGTTTGCATGCACATGTTGTGCATGAAGTTGGAAAAATGAGCGAAAATACGAACTATGAAAATTAACAGCAAAGTTTAAAACACTTATCTCCATCCTTGGCCCTGATCTTCTGGACCTTCTTTACAAAAAGAAACTTAGCAGCATGGTTGCATCTGAATGCAACCGATTTGGATGTTGCAAAGTTCAATCACTGTACACATCGATGTTTTGAAAAAAGAGGAAGCCCACCAAGAGAGTTTCGTGCCACAGAGAGAGAGAGAGCGAGAGGGAGGGAGGGAGAGAGAGAGAGAGAAAGAGAGACAGAAAGAAAGAGAGAGAGAGAGAGAGTCAGAGCGAGACAGAGAGATAGAGAGCCAAAAAGGGAGACAGAGAAAGACATCGCACCTAGAAAAACAACATAACACCAAAAAAACGCTTCAATGACAACGAGCGCAAAACAAGGGGACACGGGTCCCGACCCGGGGCTGCTGCTCGCAGAGATGACCGGTCCGTGAATCCAGTGTCTGCCAGTGTCTCAGCAGCCCCGATGTTAGCAGAGGTGAGAAGGAGCGGCGGTGCTTCATGAGCGCAGCCAAGTCCGTAGCCATGCGTTTCGTGCAAGCAACCGCAACCTTCGCGAAATTACGTGCAGCTTGCAGGCTGTGTCGTGAAAGATCACACAGTTCTCTCATCACTGAGTTGACTCCTTGCAGCCATGACAGGCTTTACCAAAACTGCAATGTTTGCAAACGTGTTCGAGACTCAGCACACCTGAGCTCACATGGTAGAGTCGGCGGCCGGCGTGGAGGACTTCGGGAGAAAATAATTTTGTACAATGGGGTGAAACGCTTCGTCTGCTGCATTGCTTGGGTTCCAATGTGGGTCGTACGTGTGCATGCTGAAGGGTTTCGGAATCTCGCGAGACATGCATGAGACTTATGCGGTCAGAGTCTGGCTTGAGTTCTGCATCAGCGCTGTTCCGTTGACACAATGGTACAGCTTGTCCGGACGTCCACAGGAATGTCTCCTAGATCGGTAAAGCTGCAAACACCCCAAACCGAGTATCATCAACTCCGGGATGTGGTTCGGATTGCAGTCAAAGTCCTCATGGCCCATGACACCTATGCAGCAATGCAGGTAGAGTCATAGCTAGCAAAGTTTGTGTCATCAGCAAAAATAGTAGAACTGGGGTTCTTGGCCTTTTCTCGGCTTCTGACTCTTGCCACTAATTACTACTGAGTTGCTACTGTTGTGATCTTCGGTTCCTTAATGAGAGCCAGGGAGTCGCATGGACCTTGAAACTGCCAGCCGCGACGGCCCGGCCGTGCCTGGGCGAGCGAAAGTTGAGGGATTCCTTTCGTGTGAAGAGGTGTGTGGTTCTCGTGACACAGAATCATTCGAATCACCGGGGCTTCAGAAATGCGCTCTTCCTCGGTGGAAGCACATTGTTGCTTCCAGTTTTCGGATTGAGGGTTGGGGCCGCGCAGCCAGGGTACCTCAAGAATCAGAATTGTCCGTGGTTTGTAGTGTTGTGGTTTGTTGGATGTGTTCCAGATGAACCTTTCGCGGGCAGGCGTAGCAACGTGCGTTCGAGGTGCAGGATGTACTGTACTATAGTATGAGCCACAGCCGAATTTCTGCACTCACAGACCAAGTGCACGCCTAGCTGAAAGGCGACAGCCAGCTCGGGAATGAGTTCGTGCATCCGCTGGATGACACAAGACCCAGCTCCTCCGGCTTCCCTGCATAAATCGGCCTCCCCGTCAACCCGGACATGCCCGATTACAAAAAGCCACTGAAGATTGCATGAACTTTAACCGTTTTTGCCTGAGGCTGTTGAACTGCACTCCCCTGGCGGACGATGGTCAGGTGGGCAATGGCAGGATTCCAGATTCTACTTCTTAAACGATGTCAGAGGTTGTGCAATCTGTCCAGAGGCCTGCCTAAAGTGTCGGGACCCGCATGCAACGTCGGAAATCTTTATTCAAGGCAGCAGTCCTGAACTCCAGCAAAGGCGAACAGTGATTGGAACCTGCAGCAAATGAGGACAAGATAGCTTGTTGCCAGGGTCGCAGCATCTTGCTTCTTTGTCATGGATGCCGGTTTGCCGCCCAAAACTTTGAGAACAGAGCAGAAATCAGCGGAGCTCCTCGTTTGTCAACCTGGGCAGGACAGCCCTTCTCCGCCTACAGCCCCACAAATTGCAGTTACGGTGGCTCAAGATTTTGATGGTCGTGATTTGGGTTGTGAGCGCCCCGTCGGGCCTTGTTGAGTCTCGAATGCCTGTTTGCAGCCACGCTTGAATGTCCAACACTACACTTGCTCTCAAAGCTTGAAAAGCTCGCAATGGTTTGGGCCCAAGATCACGATTGGACTTCGCCAGGTGGAAATTGCATTGATGGCCACGGAGCACCCTGCCATCACAGCCGCGGCCTCTGCTTGGCTTTCCTCCGACCCTCCTACGACTCGTGGTTTAGTGTTGTTGGGTTCTTTTGTAAGTGCAGTGGGTTGGGTTCATGGTATGAGCTTAGGTTCGCAGTGGCTCTTGAGGCGTTTCAGGTGCATCTTTCTGTGGCCTTCAAATTCAAGTCGCACTCGCGGCTGTGTGAGGAATTCGGAAAGACGGCCTTCGAGCATATGAAGGACGCTATGTTGGCACGGTTCAAGACTTCAGCGAAGGGGAGTGTCACGACATGACAGGTCCGCAGAGACCCTTGCACGCCTCAGCACAGTCATGTCCTGCCACGCTGAGTTCAGGCCTCTGCTCAAGGCAGGACATGCCGCCTCGAAGAACTGATTCGGGCGCACCTCGCTAACCCAGAAGACCGTACAAGGCAGAGCTGCCGAAGACCTGGGATCAGAGTGTGGAGATAGAGCTAAAATTTGTCAGACTCTAGACGCTTGACCTTGCTGTTTGGGCTTTGGCGGGAAGGAAGCCAATGCGCTTCTCACGACATGCGCACCGTGGCAGGAGGGAGTGGTGGCAGTTCGGCAGTTTCAGGATGTTTCAAGGTTATCTTTGATCATGTCCTGCACCTGGTACTGCAGATATGATTTCCAGAAGCACCGCGCGGGACTATGAGTTCTCACCGCAGGAGCTCGGTGACTTCCCGCCTGGAGCGCTCGAGACATACCGGCACCGTTGCGAGAAATTCGGAGTTTAAGGGGATGGCTTTCAAATGCTTCGGAATTGTTCAGGCTAGCTGCGGCTAGCTCGAGTGACACGTTGGGTTAGGGCTGCCTTTGGGGCAAGTCATTGAGAATGACTTGGCGATCCAGAGAAAGCTGCTATCATCCATGCAGAGAGCCGTGAACGGGTGCTCCAGAATGCTCCAGGGTGCCAGATAGAGATCTCCGTGATGA